ATTTATATTTGTGTCATTCTCAAAACTTTTGACCACGACTGTAGGGCAAAATGAGACATAACACACAAAAAGCTAAGAACAATGTATACGGAAATAATATTGTTGGTAAGATTATGGTGTGTGTGGGGGGGGGGGGGGGGGGGGGCTATGCCCTCCCTCCAAAACAGAACTAATAGTCACAGGGTCAGTACCACACAAATGTACACTTGTAACATTTTCAAATAATTGTACCTTATGCAGGGGTTGGGTCGGTTACTCCCCAGATGCAATCCGTTACAGCCACTAGTCAGCTGTCCAAAACTGCAATCAGCAACGTAATATTTCGACTACCCAAACTCAGCAACGCAACCCGACCACTCCCAGCTACCTCTGAACTACCCTCCTCCCCAAGAGGCAACAGAAGAAGACAAAAAGGATCCATCAAACGCACCTCGCGTGTCATCACAGTGGTCCCTGACCCATGGTCAGAAAGCTCAGGTGGAACAGACCCAAACCTGCACCCTTTTTCAATGCCAAACCGAATGCCACCGAGAAAACAGAAAGGCGTCACAATGCACTTTTTGGGGGGGGGGAAACAGCTCTTCCGAATTCAAAAGTAATCTGAGAAGCAATTGTCTAGTTTTTTAAGAGTATCTACAATCTGATCACAATACACCTGCTGGTTCCGCAACCAATCACATCCACAATCCTTTTGTAATCAGACCACATGTATGTTCTCAAGTCGCTCTGGATAAGAGTGTCTGCTAAATAACTAAAATGTAAAAATGTGTGGTAGAGTGCTGTTGTAACAACTACAAGTTGTATTTTTGTTACAGCATTCTAGCATATCTAGCAGCATCCAGGGCAAAGTGTGTACATGCATAACACACTGAACGCCAATAACCTTCCACTATGAAATCACTGTTTGGACGTGTTCACATGGCTTCCGATACATTTCAAAGGGAGAAGGTAGATATGAATGAATGTGTATGCTGATAGTTTGTCTACCGTCATCTCCTCTGGCTGTGTCTCTGGGATCCGGAGTTGGCCACTGTCCCACCAAACATCTGAAACAGAACAAAGCCATGCTTACACTGTAATAATCTCTCATATCATGTCTCTTGAGAAGATACAGTGCATTCGGAAAGTATTCAGACCCCTTGACTTTTTCCACATTTTGTTATGTTACAGCCTTATTTTAAAATATATTAAATCGTTTTTTTCCCTCATCACTCTACACACAATAGCAAAAACAGGTTTTTAGACATTTTAGCTCATTCATTAAAAATAAAAAACACTGAAATACCACATTTTCATAAGTATTCAGACCCTTTACACAGTACTTTGCTGAAGCACCTGTGGCAGCGATTACAGCCTAGAGTTTTCTTGGGTATGACGCTGCAAGCTTGGCACACCTGTATTTGGGGAGTTTCTCCCATTCCTCTCTGCAGATCCTCTCAAACTCTGTCAGGATGGATGGAAAGTGTTGCTGCACAGCTATTTTCAGTTCTCTCCAGAGATGTTCGATCGGGTTCAAGTCCGGGCTCTGGCTGGGCCACTCAAGGACATTCAGAGACTTGTCCCAAAGCCACTCCTGCGTTGTCTTGGCTGTGTGCTTAGGGTCATTGTCCTGTTGGAAGGTGAACCGTCGCCCCAGTCTGAGGTCCTGAGTGCTCTGGAGCAGGTTTTCATCAAGGATCTCTCTCTACTTTGCTCCATTCATCTTTCCCTCGATCCTGACTAGTCTCCCAGTCGCTGTCGCTGAAAAACATCCCCACAGCATGATGCTGCCACCACCATGCCTAACCATAGGGATGGTGCCAGGTTTCCTCCAGACGTGACGCTTGGCATTCAGGCCAAAGAGTTCAATCTTGGTTTCATCAGACCAGAGAATCTTGTTTCTCATGGCCTCAGAGTCCTTTAGGTGCCTTTTGGCGAACTCCAAGCGGGCTGTGATGTGCCTTTTACTGAGGAGTGGCTTCTGTCTGGCCACTCTACCATAAAGGCCTGATTTGGTGGAGTGCTGCAGAGATGGTTGTCCTTCTGGAAGTTTCTCCCATCTCCACAGAGGAACTCTGGAGCACTGTCAGAGTGACCATTGGGTTCTTGGTCACCTCACTGACCAAGGCCCTTCTCCCCCGACTGCTCTAGGAAGAGTCCTGGTGGTTCCAAACTTTTTTGGTACTCTTCCCCAGATCTGTGCCTCGACACAATCCTGTCTCAGAGCCCTACGGACAATTCCTTCTACCTCATGGCTTGGTTTTGACTCTGACATACACTGTCAGCTGTGGGCCCTTATATAGACAGGTGTATGTCTTTTCAAATCATGTCCATTGTAGAATAAAGTTGTAGAAACATCTCAAGGATGATCAATGGAAACAGGATGCACCTGAGCTCAATTTCAAGTATTTTAGCAAAGGGTCTGAATTATTTTTATTTTTAATACATTTGCAAACATTTCTAAAACCCTATTTTCACTTTGTCATTATTGTGTATTGTGTATAGATTGATGAGGGGGGAAAAAAACAATTTAATCCGTTTTAGAATAAGGCTGTAACGTAACAAAATTTGGAAAAGGTCAAGGGGTCTGAATACTTTCCGAAGGCAAGTATGAAGCTTCTTCAACATGAAGTTACATGATGTCTAACCAAGTCCTTGAGACTTACTGTAACACTACTGTATTGACTTGTCAGATTAGATCAAGAAAACTAATCCATCCATCCATTCATCCATCTAAACTCACCCCTTTTTTGAGGAGGAACTTGACCAGTTGCACATGCCCAGACAATCTCTCTATCCCCATCTGTGTCTCTCTTTCGCTCCCCTCACCCCATGATGTCATCATGTGTCAGGAAGTCATACCGGAACAGCTGTTTACAGTGTCTGAACATGATCTCACGCATCTGCTCCGTTGACAGGTCCTCGCCGGGCTGCCGGACAAAGATAGGGTCGTTCTTTAACTTCCGGAGCACGTTTTGTTGTGGAATTGTGGGAGAAAATATTGTCAAGTGACTTGTGGTAGATACCTGAGACGGAAGAGGAAGCGAGACATTTAATAGGATTCTTTTTTTCTGGTTCATATACAGTCAATGAACTAAGTAGACCAGACCCAACTACTATCGCATTGGTGCCTATGGGAGGGCTACTCCTTAAGTAGACCAGAACTGTGACATTTTTTCAATGGTAAACAGCCTTTATGGGATATCTTCATTTATCCACCATCATTGGTAGATACTCCCCTAAGAATAAGTCTAACAGTCTGTCACCTTTGTCAGTGTTTCTTTACATAGCCTATTTACACACAGAAGGCACTGATATAGGTTAGCCTTCCTTTACTGCTCAATTCTTCTTACTTAGCCTCCCTTCAAGGCTAGCACGTCCTCTCCCTCAAGGAACATGACCATGTCTTTCCAGTTGAAGAATGCTTTCCTCCTGCTCCATCTTGTCTTTCTGCTTGTACTTTGCTGCGGTGTAGTTGGAGACACTCATTCTGTCTAAGGCACTTTATTATTCCCTAGAAGAAAGAGTGGAAAGAACAGGGGATGAGCAGAGCGTTGTATTGATGCAAGCAATCCCTGATTTATCTAATCTCTTGATGTAGCCTACTAGAAAATAAGACGTTTTAGATAACATTATTGAGAGTGTGCAGAGAGAGAGAGAGAGAGAGAGAGAGAGAGAGATGTGGCAGCCAGGGTTTCTGCAGTTCAAAAGTATTTTTCAGACAATCAGCTATAGAGCAAGGGTCATTTCAATATCTGAGAAAACCATGTATAACATCACGTAGACATTCGAAAACGATCAATTTGCTCTATCAACAAAATAACTGTCACCATCTTAACATTGTTTGTCACAAACCTAGACTAGATCAACGTGTCATTTTGTTGACACTGACAGGCACATAAACAAACACTTTCAAAACAAAGAACACTTCACAAGGCTCACAGATAAATATCATTCATCTACGTATAATGTATTATTTTCTGATTTGTCGCGCAATTACAGATTATATACATTCAGAATGACAAATCCTTTCTCAAATTGTTAAGAAACAAAATAGTCAAAAATACCACCAAAACAATCTGCTTTTCTTACCTGTTCACTGCCCTGCTCTGCCCACGTCAAGGCGCTAGGTCATAAATGACGCATATGCAGCGCGACCGATTTTGTGTTGTCAGTCGACAGGGTTGCAATTATAAAATCGTGTTGCTAAAGTGCTACTGCTTTTTAACCCCTTTTAAATCGTCCAAGATGTAATTAAAGTTATGTCCCTTATTATGCATAGTGTCGTATAACAGCAAATCCTCTGTACTAAAAGCGATGTTATTTTCTTGAAACCGGAAGTCCGGAAAGGGATCAAAGTAGCTGTGGGTGACTGACGATTGCTTCAACTACACCTGTCTGCTTCATTGAATGAGGTTTACTAGAACATTTGTGTCTGTTTTGATCCCAAATATAATTTAAAACACTGCGCAAACGCTTAACTGTATATAAGTTACACATTGAACAAAACTGCAGTTTAACGGTGAGTACGGGTTTGCATTATCATTGACACATACGATAGGCCGACCGGCTGTATTTTTTTATTATTTTTATGTTGGCTAGTTAGCTCGCGTTAGCCAGCGACGTAGCTAGCTAGCACCGTTTTACACCTAATGTATTATGTAGCTAACTAGATATATCACGAATGCAGTTGTTTCTACATTGTGTATGCAACACTAAGGTGTAAAATCTAGAGATGTAGGTCAAGCTTAAGTAGGTCATGTCGAAACAACCTAAACATGTTTTCCATCTTCTCATTAGCTAGCTAACGTTAGCTAGGTAGCGTAGCAGCTAATGGCTAACAGACTAGCTCCACACGCCAGATGTAGTCACCTTGCCAGCTGTTGTTTTACTACCTAATGAGCAGTCCTGTAATGTAAATTTGTAAAATATGTATTTTTTTGCGTCTTCAAGAGGAGTGTAAACCGCCACTGGCTAGCTAGCGCAATAATTGCACATTTTGTTTCCAGTTCACAGCAATAATGACTAGTTACAGTAACGTTACCTAACTGCATGTATGGCTTTTGCACGGCCAAGGATGTAAATTAGTCAATGCAAATTGTTGGAACATATATTGCGCTGTTGACAACTACATATGTGACATGTACAACTTATCTAGCTAACATACTAATTTGGCCAAAGAATTGCAGATTAAACTTGCACGCTTCATTTTATATAGATTTGCTTATTAGTACCAGAATAACTTTACCTACTGCAAAAAAAACACTAACCAGTCGTGCCATTCTTCCGTCTATCCTCCCCTCACTTGTTCCCCAGGCGACGAGCTGGCGCAGGTTGTGGGTTGCCCGTGGACCATGAGGGACAGTGGTAGCAGCCTAGCACAGAACCGCTGGCAGGGAGAGCTGGGCCTAGCTGTGGGCCAGCAAGACAGTGGTGGTGGTGGTGGTGTAGGGATCTCTGGGGGTCACCTGGGGATGGACCCCACCTCCACCCACCAGATGTCCAGCCCCATGCACCTGAAACTGGACCAGAAAGAAAGGGAGGCCTGGGATGCTGAGTACATGGAGGAGTTGGAGCGGGAGGAGATGGAGGAAGATGGGGATGAGGAAGAAGATGAGGAAGAAGTGGATTTTGAAGAAGGTGAAGGCTGGGATGAGGAGGAGCAGGAACAAGAGGAGGAAGATGAAGAGGAGGCTGAGGTTGAATGGGAGGTCCCACACATGGTTCCCACCACATCCCTACAAGAGCAGAATCATGATCACCAGCTGCAAGCACCACTGGAGGAGGATGATGACGACGACGACAATGACAACAACCTGGCCAAAAATAAAGCCAGGGACTTTCCCAGCAACCCTGTCCAGTCCAGGCTCAATGTGCTCCGGCAGCGCAGGCTAAGGCGCTGGCGGAAGCTCCGCTCCCATTCCGGCCTTCGGTCTCGCCTTACTCAGCATTGGAAGACCTGGCGTCAGCGGGCCCTGTGGGTCGGCACCCTGGGGCACAGGAGGGCGAGGAAGTGGCCCAAGTACAGTCTGTACGCCAACCGGCACAGGAGAGGAGTGGACCCGGGCCTCAGCCCGCTGTCAGACGATGAGAGGCTCAGTGGGTCTGAACGAGGTGAGATCCCTAGATGGGGAAAGAGGTTTTTGAGAAACTGAAGGGTCGACAGTTGCTTCAATAAACAACACACTTGGAATGTACAGTACCAGTCAAAAGTTTGGACACACCTACTCATTCAAGGGTTTTTCTTTATTTTTTCTATTTTCTACATTGTAGAATAATAGTGAAGACTTCAAAACTATGAAATAACACATATGGAATCATGTAGTAACCAAAAAAAGTGTTAAACAAAAAGCACTTTTTTAAACAACACACTTTTAATGTAAATGTATTGCTCCATCTATCTCTGTTATATACATTAACAGGTACCATTAACTTAGCAGAGAAAAACAAGAGTATTGCTTAAAGCGTCTGACAATGCACCGTTTAAGATGTGTAAGAATCAAGGCGCTCAGTCACCACGATAACCATCATAATGTTAACGATTCTCTCTGCATTGTTGGGAAGGGCCCGTAACTAAGCATTTCACTGTTAATCTACACCTGTTGTTTACGAAGCATGTGATGAATACAATTTGAATTTACTAAAGTTGTCATCCCTGCAGACAACCGGTTGAATGGTTACTCAGGAGACTACAAGTCCAGCCAGATGGGAGTTCTGGGGGAGAGAGGGAGGAAGGAACCAGAGGCTTTCTACTCTATCGTCAGAGAAAAACCTGTGGAGGTCGCCCTCACTGAAGAACACATGAGCTGCATACATGGTAAACTAAAACATATAATTGTTCTTCTCGAAAATGACAATTTCTAGTTAAAATGGTTATGAAGTAACTAAAACACTAACAAACATGTTATGCAGACATTTCAGGCAGTATAAGTATGACATGAATTGATGTGACATTCTGTTAGTTGGAGAAATGAAGCTTGTTGGATGACATGGTTTTACATATTCAACCTATGATGAAAATGTAAAGGGAAGTACAAGTTTTATTATGTACAGTATACAACATCCAACGGTTCCTTCTCCACAATGCAACAACATTAAGAAATAATAAAATATGAAAATAAAGTAAATGGCTCAGTAGAATATAATAAATATTTTAGCATAAGTATAATACAGGAAGGCTCAATTTATAGTCCAATATTTACACGTGCTTTGGGGAAGGGGGGGTATTGGGGGGCAAGTGTGCTAAGGTGCTGATCATCAGTGCAGGTGGTCAGTCCAGTTCAACTTCACTTCAAGGAAGTGTTGCATCAACTCCGGTGAAATCTACATCAGTTGTCAATTCATGCTCAGTTCAAGGAAGACACATTAAGGTTCTTCTTTCCTATTGGTATATATATATATATATATATATATATATATATATATATATATATATATATATATATATATATATATATGTATATATGTATATATTAATTTTTGCACACCTACTACCAACAGGATATGATTATAGGACTGAGCTTGGCTGCTCAAGGTCACGTAGAATCCTCTACCGTCTGTGTGATTCCGTAGTAGAATCCTCTACCGTCTGTGTGATTCCGTAGTAGAATCCTCTACCGTCTGTGTGATTCCGTAGTAGAATCCTCTACCGTCTGTGTGATTCCGTAGTAGAATCCTCTACCGTCTGTGTGATTCCGTAGTAGAATCCTCTACCGTCTGTGTGATTCCGTAGTAGAATCCTCTACCGTCTGTGTGATTCCCTATTACTCTCCCAACATTCTGTTTTCCCATTGTCTCTCAGGGATCCTGGACGAGTCTCTCCAGAAGTATGGCAGTCTGATCCCCATCCACGCTGACGACGTGGTGGAGAAACTACAGGACATCTTCAACGACAACTTCTCACAGCCTCACAGGTCCGTCTGACCCACACACAAACACAGGGAGACATGCAAACACACACACAGACATGCAAAGCAATACATGCGCAGGGGCACGTTCACACACGTACAAACCCCAATGAAACATAATGTCCTGTACTGTGCAGGGACACATACGCAGAGAGCGACACCAACCCAAAAAAGAAACACAATGTAGCCTAATATTTATACAAACTGATGTCTGCTTGGCGTAAGGAGCCTTTTAAATGTTGGCCTTAAAAAGCCTGGTGCTGTTGGCCGAGGCCAGGTGGAATGTAAATAAATCTGTCCTTAAGGAGTGCAGTCACGCATTCCTTCTACGCAGCACTCTTAATTGATTCTAATTCTATGATGTCAGACTTCCAAATAAGGTATTTTTAACTCTTATCTGTTAAGCGATTTGAGCCAAAGGGAAAGGAAAACACCAACATGTTACTAACATCACCTAAGTTCTGAGTATGTTGATGCAAAAATAGTATTTTTGTTATGACAAGGCACAAATGTTACAAACTGAAGATGGTGACTTAAACCATTTGTAATGCAACAGGCCTTATAATGCTTTGTCGAGTGTTTAGTACAGGGTCCCCCCACTTGGTCATTGAGCCAGTTCTGTCCGTTCATCATCACCAGAGTTTAGGCACCAAACAGAAGAAAACGGAATGAAACTGGGAGGGAATAGTTGGACCAATAAAAAACACTTGTTTTCCTTTGCAAAACGTTTTGCTACAGTGTGCGCTAATGAATGCGACCAAGCTGTTACCTACCCATTGTAAACCTTTAACAAGATATATATTTTTTTATAGTTCAAATTATCCTTCACTGATACAGTTCCATGTCATATTTCCCAAAAAAGGCAGCTAGTATAATGCAGAAAATATTTTGTGAACGTTTTATGTTCCGTCTGATGTTTCCATATCCAACAGGAAAGCGGTGGTGCAACACCTAATCCAGTCCTACCAGAGGTCGTCCGGCACGGCCATGGTGCGAGGGTTCCGCGTCAACTACAAGCGTCATGTCCTCACCATGGATGATCTCAGCACGCTGTACGGACAGAACTGGCTCAATGACCAGGTGGGTGGGACCCTGTACTAAACACTATAAAGCATTATAAGGCCTGTTGCATGCTTATAACAAGTAATAACACAACTGTATGCCCTAAGGTGGGACCCCCGACTAAATACAACAGACCGGATTCTAACTTATCTGCACCTGAATATGCACCTGAATTCTTGCATACATTTGATGCATCATTGCATGACTTATGCAAAATTGTATTTGTGTGTATGTCAAGTTAGGATTGGACCCTATATACAAAGAGCTGTTACTTTTTAAAGGTCCAAAACAGCCATTTTTATCTCAATATCAAATCATTTCTTGGTAACAATTAAGTACCTTACTGGTTAGGATTCCATCCAATTGGCGTCAGATTTTATGTAGATTTTTGAATATTCGCATTAAGAAAATATGAAAAATTTCCCACCTCTGGTGGATTTCCACCAAACTGACTTGTTGCGAGTAAAAATCAGTGCGTGATGACGTACTAGTGCACACAAAATGTACTTTTTCGCCTAAAAATTATTGTACCAAAATAAGAATCTAAAGTTCGATGTGTTTCCATTGCATTTTCAACTCTACCGTTGTGTTAAATAGCAAATGTGCCTACTTTGGTCATGGCACATGCTAACATAGCTAACAGCTCGCAGATGCTGTGCGGGTAGACTAGTCTTCATAAGGGTTTCCCAAACTCTGCCCCGGGGCCCTCCCCTGGGTGCACGTTATAGTTTTTGCCCCAGCACAACACAGCTGATTTAAAATAACCAACTCATCGTCAAGCTTTGATTATTTGAGTCAGCTGTGTAGTGCTAGGGTAAAAACCAAAACGTGCACCCAGGGGGGGCCCCAGGACCGAGTTTGGGAAAATCCTGGTCTACATGATGAGATTATGATAGATAAGAGGGAGAATATATTTTTTAAAAGAGCATCAAGCTTTCATCACCCTGCGAAGTTCATAACTTATTTAATCTGTATCTTAATGTGGTCCTCTGTAGCTCAGCTGGTAGAGCACGGCGCTTGTAACGCCAAGGTAGTGGGTTCGATCCCCGGGACCACTCATACACAAAAATGTATGCACGCATGACTGTAAGTCGCTTTGGATAAAAGCGTCTGCTAAATGGCTTATTATTATTATTATTTAATAAAATGCATGGTTTCTCTAATCGTAGTGGGAGGACGGTCAGTGCTATCCGGGATCCCTGGGACGTCCCTACTCTAAACCCTAACCTTTACCTCCATCCTAACCTTAACCCTTACCTTAAAGGGATACTTCAGGATTTTGGCAATGCGTGCTAGCAGATACCATAGACTACCAGTCATTGCGCTAACGCTAGTTATCATTGGCTCGTGAAACTACCTCTCACTTCCTTCATACTGGACGCAGACATACAAATTGTATCCAAGAGTTCATCTGACTTTGGGGAAGTAGATAAAGGGCCTCATTGGCCAAATCCAGAAGTATCCCTTTAACCATTTAAAATGTCATCTTCAATGGGGTAGGGACGTCCCAAGGATCCCGGATAGCATGGACAGTGGGAGGACCACACACACCATATCATCGCGTGCCTCGATATGATGGTTATTATAATCAATATTTGCCCATAAAGGCGTTTCCACCGCCATTTCTCGCATAATTAATTTTACGTCACAAAAATATCCCACCATGTCGAACGAACAAATTATGTCTGCATTTATAAAATTGTACCGAAAGTTCCTGTTTCCATCACAGCTGTCGTTCTTTTTTAAAATACGGTATAACTTTACTTGCATAAAATCTGTGGATGGAAACATGGTTACTGTGATTGTGTTTCAATTAAAATTGTCAAAAAGAAACAAATAGCTTCTTAGCAAAGAGCAATTTCTCAAGTAAGAATTCTGCCAGGACTGTCTGGGAGTGGTCTGAGTGGGGAGGGGAAAACAGAAAACTAGCTGTGATTGGCAGAGAGGTTTGGAACTATTTCTTATTGATCTATTAATGAATTTACACATCACTAGGCAGGCCAAAACTCCATCCCACCACAACAGGCTGACAGTTCATGCGTTTTTCTTTCCCAAACCACTCTTACACTAAAAGGGTATTAACATTTTCACAATTTTACAGTATTATTTTAACCTGGAAATGTGTATAGATAGATAGAACACAGGAACATCATGTTTGACAGCACTGGGCCTTTAAACTGTTTAAAAGCAAGGCATTGTACATTGTTGTGATAAAATCTCTTTTCAGGTCATGAACATGTATGGTGACCTTGTGATGGACTCGGTGCCCGAGAAGGTAGGAAAAAATTTACAACATACTTCCACGATATACTACTTTCAGTCCATAATGTTTTTTTTCCCTCATAGAAAACCATATACAGTGCCTTCAGAAAGTATTCATACCCCCTGACATTTTGTTGTTACAGCCTGAATTCAACATGGATTAAATATATGTTTTCATCCATCTACACACAATACCCCATAATGACATTGAAAACATGTTTTTTGACATTTTGATAGTTCTGTATTTAATTTTCAATAAATTATTTCATTTACATACGTATTTACACCCCTGAGTCAATACTTTGTAGAAGCACCTTTGGCGGCGTTTACAGCTTTGAGTCGTCTATCAGCTTGCACATCTGGATTTGGGGATTTTCTCACATTTTTCCTTGCAGATTTTCTGCACACTTTTGTTAAGCTTTGTTAAGTTAGATGGGGAGCGGAGGTGAACAGCAATCTTCAAGTCTTTCCACAGATTTTCAATGGGATTCAAGTCTGGGCTTTGGCTGAGCCATTCAAGGACTTTCACTTTCTTGTTCTGAAGCCATCCCAGCATTGCTTTGGCTGTATGCTTGTAGTCAATGTCCTGTTGGAATGTAAATCTTCCCCCAGTCTGTCGTTTGCACTTTGAAGCAGGTTCTCATCAAGGATTTGCCTGTATTTAGCTCCATCCATTGTTCCCTCTATCCTTACCAGTCTTCCTGCTGCTAAAAAGCATCCCCATAGCGTGATGCGGCCACCAATGTTCCCTCAATTATTTTTCGGCACTGAACAAATTTCAGGTCTGCTGAGCACAAACTTGAACGTTGTGAAAATTCTGTGCAACTTGCTCAGTTGTGCACCCGGGGCCTCCCACTCCTCTTTCTATTCTGATTAGACCCAGTTTGCGCTGTTCTGTGAAGGGAGTAGGACACAGTGTTGTACGAGATCTTCAGTTTCTTGGCAATTTCTCACATGGAATAGCCTTCAATTCTCAGAACAAGAATAGACTGACGAGTTTCAGAAGAAAGTTATTTGTTTCTGGCCATTTTGAGCCTGTAATCGAACCCTCAATTGATGATGCTCCAGAAACTCAACTAGTCTCAAGAAGGCCAGTTTTATTGCTTCTTTAATTAGCACAACAGTTTTCAGCTGTGCTAACATAATTGCAAAAGGGTTTTCTAATGATCAATTAGCCTTTTAAAATGATAAACTTGGATTAGCAAACACAACGTGCCATTGGAACACAGGACTGATGGTTGCTGATAATGGGCCTCTGTACGCCTATGTAGATATTCCATTAAAAATCAGCCGTTTCCAGCTACAATAGCCATTTACAACATTAACAATGTCTACGCTGTATTTCTGATCAATTTGATGTTATTTTAATGGACAAAAAAATTGCTTTTCTTTCGAAAACAAGGACATTTCTAAGTGACCCCAAACTTTTGAACGGTAGTGTATGTAAATTAGATTTCGGTATTTCATTCTCAATACATTTGCGAAAATTTCAAAAACACTGTTTCACTTTGTCATTATGGAGTATTGTGGTAGATGGGTGAGAAAATAAATACATTTAATCAATGTTGAATTCAGGCTGTAACACAACAACATGTGGAATAAGTCAAGGGGTATTAATACTTTCTGAAGGCACTATATTCAGCGAATGAGAATACCTGTAGCATCAGTCTTTCTCCCTCTCTCTCAGGTTCACTTTTTCAACAGTTTTTTCTACGACAAGTTGAGGACGAAAGGCTACGAAGGAGTCAAACGATGGACAAAGAATGTAAGAAACCATATTCATCCCATAAATGTGATAATGGCACAAGTTCTGTTTTCTTTTCCCCTACACTGGCTTTTCATGATCCTTTGTCAATCCATTTTTCAATTAAATTTTATCATACACCGCTCAACAAAAATATAAACACAGCATGTAAAGTGTTGGATAAAAGGCCACTCTAAAATGTGCAGTTTTGAAACACAACACAATGCCACAGATGTCTCAAGTTTTGAGGGAGCGTGCAATTGGCATGCTAACTGTAGGAATGTCCACCAGAGCTGCTGCCAGAGAATTGAATGTTCATTTCTCTACCATAAGCCGCCTCCAACGTTGTTTTAGGGAATTTGGCAGTACGTCCAACCGTACGTGGTGAACAGAATGCCTCATGGTGACGTTGGGGTTACGGTATGGGCAGGCATAAGCTATGGAGAACACAATTGCTTTTTATCGAAGGCAATTTGAATGCACAGAGATACCATGACAAGATCCATTGTTGTGCCATTCATCCGCCGCTATCATCAGGTTTCAGCATGATAATGCACGGCCCCATGTCACAAGGATCTATACACAATTCCTGGAAGCTGAACATCTTCCAGTTCTTCCATGGCCTGCATACTCACCAGACATGTCACCCATTAAGCATGTTTGGGATGCCCTGGATCGACGTGTACGACCGCGTGTTCCAGTTCCCGACAATATCCAGCAACTTCACACAGCCATTGAAGAGGAGTGGGACAACATTCCACAGACTACAATCAACAGCCTGATCAACTCTGCATGAGGCAAATGGTGGTCACACCAGATACTGACTGGTTTTCTGATCCACGCCCCTACTTTTTTTTTTTTATAACTATCTGTGACCAACAGCTGCAAATCTGTATTCCCAGTCATGTGAAATCCATAGATTAGGGCCTAATGAATTTATTACAATTGACTGAGTTCCTTATGTGAACTGTAACAATCTTTGAAATTGTTGCATGTTGCGTTTTATATTTTTGTTCAGTGTACTTACCTGGCAGGATTACCCAGCGTGCTTTACCCAGGCGCAGCCATTGCACTCCAGTTTTTGTGTTGACCCCTGCGAATTCCCCAAATGTGGAAATCTCAACAGCATAATTTATGGTAGTGGCGGACTGCGTTCACGCTTTCTCCTGATTGGCTAGAAGGAATACAGCTTTTGTGAAGTTTGTCATTTTAGCTAACCCTAATGGTGCGTTTAGAAGGTAGACAGTAAACCGGATTTCATTGTTTTCAATGAGAGCACGACGGTAAATGCCGTTGAGGTTGGTGGTAAATGCTGTCAGCTGCCACGGTAGATGGGACTTGGCGCCAGAGTTAAAATATTTCAACTTTTTCCATCTGCCGTAGCGTTGTTTTCTACTGGACGTTGATTTGCACTGATTGTACTAGTGTGTAGTTGTCTTTACAAATGTATTTGTTAAAGTGCTTAACAGAAACCCAAGCCTTAACTCCACCGAAGAGCAAACCAAGACAGACAACACTTTCACTTCACCCCTTTCTCCCTCTTCCCCCTCTCAGATGAAACATATTACGTGTAGTTTTTCATCTCCCTCTACTCTATCAGGTGGACATATTCCAGAAGGATCTCCTCCTGATCCCCATCCACCTGGAGGTCCACTGGTCCCTGGTCAGTGTGGACATCCCCCGTAGGGCCATTACCTACTTCGATTCCCAACGCACACTTAACCGACGCTGCCCAAAGGTGAGTTCCTGACTGCCAATCATGGCTATCAGATTTAGAACAAGTCCTACAGCCTCAAGTCCTAAAAATCTAAATTGATTTAGTCTTTATCTGTGTTTGAAGTGGGACTGAAATAGTTGATGGTACTCATTTTGGGCATTGGGTATTCTTTTATATTTAGGAGACAGTACTAAAGCAGTCAAATGTGAGGTTGCGGTACTCTGTACTGGTCACCATCAGCCCACTTCAAGAACTGGTCTCTATAAATGATCTCCTCTTTGTCCACTACCTCCTCAGCATATTGCAAAGTACCTGCAGGCGGAGGCTGTCAAGAAAGACCAGAGAGATTTCCTCACAGGGTGGAAAGGCTATTTCAAAATGGTAAGTCAAGATTTCTCAGATTTGCATAGCAACAGTTTGCTGGACAGGAATGAACAACAGATGTTTGTTTGACAGTGATGGGGAATATGTTGTGTTTTACCAAAACATTTCGATGTGTGTGTGTTTCAGAATGTTGGCCGCCAGAACAATGACAGTGACTGCGGAGCGTTCGTTCTTCAGGTGGGTCCTAACTACACTGCTCAAAAAAATAAAGGGAACACTTAAACAACACAATGTAACTCCAAGTCAATCACACTTCTGTGAAATCAAACTGTCCACTTAGGAAGCAACACTGATTGACAATAAATGTCACATGCTGTTGTGCAAATAGAATAGACAACAGGTGGAAATTATAGGCAATTAGCAAGACACCCCCAATAAAGGACTGGTTTTGCAGGTGGTGACCACAGACCACTTCTCAGTTCCTATGCTTCCTGGCTGATGTTTTGGTCACTTTTGAATGCTGGCGGTGCTTTCACTCTAGTGTTAGCATGAGACGGAGTCTACAACCCACACAAGTGGCTCAGGAAGTGCAGTTCATCCAGGATGGCACATCAATGCGAGTTGTGGCAAGAAGGTTTGCTGTGTCTGTCAGCGTAGTGTCCAGAGCATGGAGGCGCTACCAGGAGACAGGCCAGTACATCAGGAGACGTGGAGGAGGCTGTAGGAGGACAACAACCCAGCAGCAGGACTGCTACCTCCGCCTTTGTGCAAGGAGGAGCAGGAGGAGCACTGCCAGAGCCCTGCAAAATGACCTCCAGCAGGCCACAAATGTGCATGTGTCTGCTCAAACGGTCAGAAACAGACTCCATGAGGGTGGTATGAGGGCCCGACGTCCACAGGTGGGGGTTGTGCTGACAGCCCAACACCGTGCAGGACGTTTGGCATTTGCCAGAGAACACCAAGATTGGCAAATTCGCCACTGGCGCCCTGTGCTCTTCACAGATGAAAGCAGGTTCACCCTTGTGAGACCATATCCTGGTGCGGTTGGCCCTGGGTTCCTCCTAATGCAAGACAATGCTAGACCTCATGTGGCTGGAGTGTGTCAGCAGTTCCTGCAAGAGGAAGGCATTGATGCTATGGACTGGCCCGCCCGTTCCCCAGACCTGAATCCAATTGAGCACATCTGGGACATCATGTCTCGCTCCATCCACCAACGCCACGTTGCACCACAGACTGTCCAGGAGTTGGTGGATGCTTTAGTCCAGGTCTGGGAGGAGATCCCTCAGGAGACCATCCGCCACCTCATCAGGAGCATGCCCGGGCGTTGTAGGGAGGTCATACAGGCACGTGGAGGCCGCACACACTACTGAGCCTCATTTTGACTTGTTTTAAGGACCTTACATCAAAGTTGGATCAGCCTGTAGTGTGGTTTTCCACTTTAATTTTGAGGGTGACTCCAAATCCAGACCTCCATGGGTTGATAAATTTGATTTACATTGATAACTTTTGTGTGATTTTGTTGTCAGCACATTCAACTATGTAAAGAAAAAAGTATTTAATAAGATTATTTCATTCATTCAGATCTAGGATGTGTTATTTTAGTGTTCCCTTAATTTTTTTGAGCAGTGGATAATCCTAGATGTTCATACTTGGATATAGAGCCATGGTTCATAGCTGTAATTATTTTGCACTATGGCCTATTTATTGTCTTACCTCCATATCTTACTACATTTGCACACACTGTATATAGATTTTCTATTGTGTTATTGACTGTATGTTTTGTTTATTCCATATGTAACTCTGTTGTTGTTTTTATCGCACTGCTTTGCTTTATCTTGGCCAGGTCGCAGTTGTAAATGAGAACTTGTTCTCAACTGGCTTACCTGGTTAAATAAAGGTGAAATAAAAAATATTTTAAAAAAAATAGCTGTCCTTTTACTACACACGTGCTGCAATCCAAATCAAACCCTAGCCCCAAGCCCTAGACACTCCTTTAAATCAGGATTTTATTAGGATCACCATTAGCTTTTGCAAATGCAGCAGCTATTCTTCCTGGGGTCCACATGAAACATGATATAATACAGAACACTAATAGACAAGAACAGCTTAAGGACAGAACTACATTTCAAAATAAGAATATAGAAATAAAAAAGATCCAAAACACTAGGGTTTAATATGATAACTGCTTAACCTTGCCCTCTGATGGCTAGGTGGAACAATTTGGTGCCAGAAGGCCTGGATACTGCTTTGGGTGCCTTTGTTCCCTAACTCTGTCCTGGGTCCCCTCCTGGGTCCCCCCCTGGGTGCACGTTTTGGTTTTTGCCCTAGCACTACACAGCTGACTCAAATAACCAACTCATCAAGCTTTGATTATTTGAATCAGCTGTGTAGTGCTAGGGCGAAAACCAAAACGTGCACCCAGGAAGGGCCTGGGACCGAGTTTGGGGAAGCCTGATCTCTAACCTCTCTCTCTGTGTTCCTTCCAGTACTGCAAGACTCTGGCCCTGGGGCAGCAGTTCAGCTTCGGCCAGCAGGACATGCCCAAACTGAGGAGACTCATGTACAAAGAACTGTGTCACTGCAAGCTCTCGCTGTGACACCACGCCCTCTGAGGATTCTTAGTGAAGAAGCAGCAGATTCTAACGAGGAAGTGAGGGATGGTTCTAACGAGCTATTGCTAGAAGCTAGTGACTGAAAGAAAGGAAAAAAAAGTGTTACATTTCAAAGGAACCTTTTTTCCTCTTGACAACGACATCCAGAGACTTTACTACTATAAGTCAGGAGGGCATTTTATATTTTCTCCCAATGTGTTTTCAGCCCTCTTTTTCTGTTTTTTCTCCTTCTCCCTTGACCCTAGTTTTTATTTCATGTTCATGGTTGTTTCCTTGTGGTTGATAGAGGCCAAGTCTAAGGCTGAGTCCCAAATGGCACACTATTCCCTAAGTAGAGCACTACTTTTGACCATAGCCCTATGGGCCCTGATCAAATACAGTACATGATATGGGTAATAGGGTGCCATTTGGAATATACACCAAGTCTGCTATTCTCTGACAGTGAAACTGTGTATTTTAAATAACAAATACATTTTATTTGGACTTGGGAGACTTCTCTCTCTGTTTCTCCCAACAGACGCAGGAGCCCCCCAAACAGACGTATCACCTTACTGACCAGGAGCCCCCCAAACAGACAAGATTGGAGTGGAAACAAGTGGTTATTCTAGCTTCTTTACTTACGTTTTTTTCTTCTTTTTTTCTCGTCAGTAAAAAAAAAAAAAAACATGTTGCTAATGCTTATTGTTCATGGTGTTTTTTGAGGGCAGTGATGATGATTATGTTTCATATTTTGATTCAAATAAAAACTATCTTACCAAGTCATGTTGGCGTCATATGGGTTGGACCATGTAGGCTACAAACAACGTTGGATCCCAAATGGCAGCCTATGCCCTTTATTTACATTTACATTTTAGTCATTTAGCAGACGCTCTTATCCAGAGCGACTTACAGTTAGTGAGTGCATACATTTTTATTTTTTATACTGGAATCGAACCCACAACCCTGGCGTTGCAAATGCCATGCTCTACCAACTGAGCTACATCCCTGCCGGCCATTCCCTCCCCTACCCTGGACGACACTGGGCCAATTGTGCGCCGCCCCATGGGTCTCCCGGTCGCGGCTGGCTACGACAGAGCCTGGATTCGAACCAGGATCTCTAGTGGCACAGCTAGCACTGCGATGCAGTGCCTTAGACCACTGCGCCACTCGGGAGGACTTTATAGTGCACTATTTTTGACCAGGGTGCCATTTGGGATGCAAATATTATTCTTGGTGGTGTTATTACACATTTCCCTCTTTCTTTTAGAAACTGAAAGCACATTGTTTATAGGTATCATGTGTTTAGTTTTTGTGTGTGTTTTGAGCAGAAGTTTGATGGAACATAATTGACTTTTTATATATTTTAAAAAGCATTTATGGTTGATCAGAATAAACAAACACATGGCAAGGAATAGATTAATGAAAGTTTATCTGTCATGCTTTGTATAATGGGGATAGATTTAAATTGAACGCTGCAGCCCTGTCTGGTGTTCAACCTTCCCAAGTTCTCTCATGTCACCCCGCTCCTCCGCACACTCCACTGGCTTCCAGTTGAGGCTCGCATCTACTACAAGACCATGGTGCTTGCCTACGGAGCTGAGGGGAACGGCACCTCCTTACCTTCAGGCTCTGATCAGACCCTACACCCAAACGAGGGCACTACGTTCATCCACCTCTGGCCTCCCCTACCTCTACGGAAGCACAGTTCCCGCTCAGCCCAGTCAAAGCTATTCGCTGCTCTGGCACCCCAATGGTGGAACAAGCTCCCACACGACGCCAGGACAGCGGAGTCACTGACCACCTTCCGGAGACACTTGAAACCCTACCTGGAATAGTATAAAGTAATCCTTTCTTTGCTACACTTTACTATATTACCGGACAGTCATGAAGATGGGACAAGATCACAGCCTGAACAACTAGTACAGTTGATCTTTGTTTCAAAAACGCAGAACGTGTTTTTATAACAGACCTACCTCTCCCCATCTTCACAGCAACTTTGTCAATCTGTCTTGACCATGATGATAACTGACCATCCAATGTTACCCCTAGGAAGTGTGCTAGTGTTAGTCATCATTAGATTCGTTTTATCTCCATGACTAAAAAACAGAGGGTAGTCTAGGTAAGTGATCATGCTGTAAATGACTCATGTTATCCCACATAAATTGAATAAGTATACTTTGCGAAAACAGGAGACGTCATCTAATGCCACGTTCAAGTACTAGTCTGAACTTGTCGGAAATTTCCGACTTGTTGATTCGTTGAACGCAGGACGTGTATAACTACAACCAGTATTCAAGTCGAACATTTCCAAATGTCCTAGTTCCGACTGGCACTTGAACGCGGCACAATTATTACTTGGATTTGCGAAATGACGATGTAGTGACGTAAAGACTTGGGCAGGGCTCTGGTCATATGGGGTGTTTTACATGAACTAGTCCTGGATCAGTTTTAGAATTCTTATTCTAGAATGAAGTTTTCTAACAGGACCGGAAACGCTGTTGTAAGATCAGTGTCTGAGCGCGCTCAATGTTGCAAAGGAAATACCCAATGAAAACCAACAAGAAGACTGCTTTTGCCCAATAGCTACATGCTATAGGAGGGTTATGCACTATATCCCGCCTGCTTCAGTGCAAATAACGCGATTATGCTGTCAATCTAATCTTAATTACGTATAAATTAGCCAATGACATGTCATAATGGGTGGAGTCACAATTGATTGACATGGTGCTGCTGCAATGAAATCGCTAGGTTGCTCATCACGTTGACGTATATATAAGGTTCCTGCCACATTCTCATCCTTTGTGATAATGTCGGCAGAGTATGAAGATAGGTAAGGAATGAACGGACATGGTTGCCAATGTATTGCGTAATATTGATGAAATTGTCATTTTTAAATAGAAAAATGTTTTTTCGTAACGCATGCTATTTCAAAATGAATGCGATGTTTGAAGCAATGTTGTTAAGCGTATGTTTCAGTGCAATATGCGGCGGTGCCGGTTTCTCCGCATGGACTTGAGTGACGAACTTTCAATAACGATTTTCAAGCCTGGTCTAGGCCTTTCCGGAATACTGCCTGATGCGGCTATTATGTGTTAACGTCTGGTATTGATAAGCCCCACTTTTGAAAATACGGCGATATATTGATCTTGGTCAGATCAGCATGGTAGCAAACTACAGGTCAGCTGGATGGCGAGTGCAGGGGGAAATGTCACGCACATGGTCGTCGGAGTTACCTGCGTGACAATGGCGTGCCTTATGATAGTTGGCATGATTTACGACTGGCAACTGTATTTTCTGACGTACTAATCACACCGGACACGGTTAGTGTATTAAAAAATGGCAGATGTGATAACATAGATTAAGCTGCCAAATTAAATCGGAAAAGCGCCAACTAGGCCCAATGTAGAGCCATCTAGCAAACTTATGCTAGTTTGACACGTAGATGTAAACCAGCTACTTAGCAATCGTTTTCATGGGGGTTAATTTCAATAGGGAAACAAATGTAGTCAATGTTTTTGAACATCTAAGTAATGGGTTGTTTCTAAACTCATTTTGCATATGCAATCGTTTACGCATGCTGTTAGCCCGTTAGTTAGCCATCAGCAGTTTTCGGGCGGTGAGAAACGACCATCTTGAATTGTCTGAAAAAGAAATGGCGGCTTTGTCGACCACGGGGCTTTTTCCTCGGGAAAATGCCGCCCGTCCCACATTCGACGTGTTCTACAGAACAATCTCCATTGTGCAATTCTGCTGTTAAGCTATAATAACTAAGCTTATGAAACGGTTAACAAAATTATTCTAAACGTTTTCTTGTAGAAATGACAAATGTCATCACCAGAAACAGTTTCTTACTGGGACCGACCCGCATTTCCAGTGTAGCCTAACGATATTTCTCAACATCCTTTTAAAGATACAACACGCCAGATTTACATCGTAAAGCGTAGGATTTCGCTTCCAGGAATTTGTTAATGACGATCTACTGCTGTGTGATTTCAGACCTTCCAGAGACAATGGCCCCGAGGGCATGGAGCCAGATGGGATCATTGAGGTGCGTATTGCTTCTGTGTGAAATCTTCTAAATTGGATGTGAACGACTGTAACTAGATATTCAAGAGCTCCAGTTAAAACTTAATGTGTAATAAATGTAATAACTTGCCTAATTGAATGCGAACACTGTAGCTATTCAGATGGTCAAGATACTGTGTAATGATGCCTACCTTGCTAAATGGATGCCAAAAGCTCCAATGTATGAAGTTAGATATTCAGTAGATCCAGTTGCTAAAGGATGACCGACATCTTATGTTTTAGGGGAACTAATAGGGCGGTGCACAATTGACCCAGCGTTGGCCGGTGTAGGCTGTCATTGTAAATAAGAATTTGTTCTTAACTGACTTGCCTAGTTAAATAAAGGTTAGCGAATGACTGTTTTATAACTACCTTGTTTGGATGCACTGTCAAGTCACACTGGATGAGATTGTCTGCTAATTTACTGAAATGTGGCTGTCTATACTCAACCCTCAACCTACAGAGCAACTGGAATGAGATCGTGGACAGTTTTGATGACATGAACCTGGGCGAGAAGCTGCTCAGAGGAATCTATGCCTATGGTTTTGAGAAACCCTCTGCTATTCAGCAGAGGGCCATCCTCCCTTGTATCAAGGGTGAGTACTCAGCCACACCTTTTTAGATGGTTATGCGTAATGGTCAAATGCTTCATTTTCTAAACTTTATGGGGTCATACAACACATTTGAAGAGGGCATTTGCAGTGTCCGTACAGCATGGTCACTACAGTGACTGAAATCTACCTTCTCTTAGCTCATCAGCTTGAAAAGACCACTAACGTTCACTTAAGCTGAGGGTACTAAAAATGCTGAAGTCTTAACTTCTGCATGTTGGCTTCACTCCCCCTGTCAACTGGGCAAGGCGGTGTCCTCTAATGGCACTGAATCTTATATCTGACAGGGGAATAGAGAATGAGTCCATATTCATCCCAGTCAGCTCTGTTCAGTGAGGAATAGGCTGGTTCATGCTATGGGCACAGATGAAACAAACTAGTCAATTTTAGTGCACTAACTTTAGCCTAATTACTAATTTAAACAACTCTGAAAACAAACTAGTGGTTGGAGGATAATTTTGGTTTAGCTTGTGCATTTCGACATAACATTCTAGTAGAAGGCATTGGTTGAAGCCTACCCAAAAGAGTAGAGGTGCTGACTAACGTTCTAGCAGAAGGCATTGGTTGAAGCCTACCCAAAAGAATAGAGGTGCTGACTAACATTCTAGTAGAAGGCATTGGTTGAAGCCTACCCAAAAGAGTAGAGGTGCTGACTAACATTCTAGCAGAAGGCATTGGTTGAAGCCTACCCAAAAGAGTAGCGGTGCTGACTAACGTTCTAGCAGAAGGCATTGGTTGAAGCCTACCCAAAAGAGTAGCGGTGCTGACTAACATTCTATTAGACCTATCCATTAAGTCAGCGTATGTATAAACGGCTAATTATATGAGCTGACATTGGCATTCTTGCCTGTCCCCAGGTTACGATGTGATTGCACAGGCTCAGTCTGGTACTGGGAAGACTGCCACCTTTGCCATCTCCATCCTGCAGCAGATTGACATGGAGCTGAAGGGCACACAGGCCCTGGTCCTGGCTCCCACCAGAGAGTTGGCTCAGCAGGTGTGTTGACAAGGGAGGAGGAAGGGGATGAGTTGGACAATAAAAGGAAGTAAAAACAAATGGGTAATGTTCACATCTCTAGCATGAAACGGTTGCATTTCTTGTCCTGTGGTCCTACATGCAAGAATTGCGTTGGCGTCAACTTGATTAGGTTTAGTTTATGGCTTATCAGTGACTGCTTTTAAGACATGCCACAAAGGGACTGCTGTAAAACATGCACCCCCCCCCCCCCCCCCTGTCAACTGGGCAAGGCGGTGTCCTCTAATGGCACTGAATCTTATATCTGACAGGGGAATAGAGAATGAGTCCATATTCATCCCAGTCAGCTCTGTTCAGTGAGGAATAGGCTGGTTCATGCTATGGGCACAGATGTTGGAAAATACCAGATATACATGTACAGTTGAGAGGTTTTGATGTGGAAATAGGTGGTAGTCCTACACAAACTAAAGGGATGTCTTGAGTAAAAAACAAACCCTCAATAGTCTGAAACTACTAAACATTCTCTTTCTCCCCATATTGTTTAATCTCAACTTTACTATCAAATAAAATCTCCTCTCCTCCCTAGATCCAGAAGGTGATCCTGGCCCTGGGTGACTACATGGGAGCCTCCTGCCATGCCTGTATCGGAGGGACCAACGTCCGTAACGAGGTCACCAAGCTGCAGGCTGAGGCCCCCCACATAGTGGTGGGGACCCCTGGTCGCGTGTTCGACATGTTGAACCGCAAATACCTGGGTAAGTAGTGGTTGCCCAATTTGTTTAATTGACAATCAATGGTTGAGTTTCGACTTTGAGTGAGGCGGCTAAATATTTACATGCATTTTATCCAAATTCACCACATAGTAGTTGACCAATAGTGTAGTTCATCAATGGTTTAAGTTGCACATTTTCGTTCTTAGTAGGACCCTGGTTTGCAGTTGGTGATGATACGTTTGAGTGACAGGGTAGGGTTCTAGAGCTGTATAATGATGAAATCTATGCGTGTCAACTGATTCTGGAACCCCCTGAGTGTTCTAGTTCCACCAGTCAGCGTTCTGTTGGCTGGTGTGTTCTGAACCTCAGGACTCTAGAACTCATGATCAGATTCCACACTGGCTGAATACAGTATTTTTCAATGACTCAGAACTTGGTTTGCACAAATAGTAAAGGCTTTGAATCAAAGATGGGTCATTGGGCATTTTCCCTCATTTCATCCCTCTAAAATGAATGTAGTGGTGATATTACCAGTAAAGGCAGAATTAATTGACTACTTATAGATGCTTCTCTAATGTTATTCTATCACTCCACCTTGCCTCCATGCAGCCTCCAAGAACATCAAGATGTTTGTGCTTGATGAGGCAGATGAGATGTTGAGCCGAGGGTTCAAGGACCAGATCTACGAGATCTTCCAGAAACTCCCCACCAGCACACAGGTATGTCAATCTGACCAGGACTAACCCCAACCCACCAGCACTGGTATGCCCATCTGATTAGGACTAACCCCAACCCACCAGCACTGGTATGTCAATCTGACCAGGACTAACCCCAACCCACCAGCACTGGTATGTCAATCTGATTAGGACTAACCCCAACCCACCAGCACTGGTATGTCAATCTGATTAGGACTAACCCCAACCCACCAGCACTGGTATGTCAATCTGACCAGGACTAACCCCAACCCACCAGCACACAGGTATGTCAATCTGACCAGGACTAACCCCAACCCACCAGCACTGGTATGTCAATCTGATTAGGACTAACCCCAACCCACCAGCACTGGTATGTCAATCTGACCAGGACTAACCCCAACCCACCAGCACACAGGTATGTCAATCTGACCAGGACTAACCCCAACCCACCAGCACTGGTATGTCAATCTGACTAGGACTAACCCCAACCCACCAGCACACAGGTATGTCAATCTGACCAGGACTAACCCCAACCCACCAGCACTGGTATGCCCATCTGCACTAACTTTAGCTGGAATCTGATTTGAACTAACTTTATTTGAAAGGTGTGTATTTGGTCTTCAATTTAGCTAGAAATATTTACTGTGGCCATTGCTCAAGGGCAATATCCTAAGGATATTTGACTTTTGTTCGTAGTTTTAAATGACTTATTATACTTTTCAGCAAACTGATCTGTAGTACAGGCTCAACTGCATTGCTCTGTACTCTGCATTTAGTCATATGAACTTGATGCAGTGAAACTGTTTCCTCCACTCCCTATCATATGTGGCCAAAACTCCTCCCAGCTTGTGCTGTCAGGAATTACGTTTTTTTGTGTAACCTAGAATCCGCTCTCCACAGTGACAGGGCTCAGTCCCAACTCATGGGTTATTAGCAGTTTACAACCTACTCACCGGTTGCACAATTCTTGTGGGTGTGGTTGGCATTGCGTCTTCCCTGAGGTTGAACTGTTGTAGACGTTTCAGGGTAATGTTCATTCATGTCCTTTTCCTAATGTGGGTGAAAGTCCATCCTCTGCCCTCGCTCCTCCGTGACCTGAACTAAGTGGTCGTAGTGTCCATTTGTTAGTCGGCGAATGAAAGAGTTATCCCCTCCTAGATGGGTATGACTGTCCTTGAAAGGTGGCTAACTATCAGTACTTCGGAAGCATTTTGATCTGCCACACACTCTGAATCATTTGTTTTGTCTAGAGGAAACCATGCACCTGTCTAAAGCTAAGTAGTTTTAATCTAAAATGTCCTGCGTCTCTAACTTAATTTGTTTTGATCACTTTTGGGATCCACCCTCTTGACAAAGGTGCTTAGTGAATTGACTCTGCCACTAGCACGTCACTTCCCCCCTCAATTACCTTTGCCCTTTATCAAAGGGAGGCGAGGAGACTCGGCGTTAAGCAAATCCAATTGACAAAATGCTGTTGACTTCAACATACCTAACCCTTTAGCTTTCCTGTTCTCTCAAGTAGTTAAACATGGCTAAGTAGTACGCTTGTATGGACTTTGACTGTAATCTGAATCATGACTAACCGCCTTTAACCTCTGACCCCCTCTAGGTGGTGCTGCTGTCTGCCACCATGCCCCAGGACGTGCTCGAGGTCACCAAGAAGTTCATGCGTGAGCCGATCCGCATCCTGGTCAAGAAGGAGGAGCTCACCCTGGAGGGTATCCGCCAGTTCTACATCAACGTAGAGAAAGAGGTGCGAGTTGCCCTTAGACACAGATCTAAGATCAGTTTGGGCGGTCTGAGTAAGTTTCCTTTAGGCACAGATCTAGATGGGGTTAGGTGCGTTTTGACAGATGAGGGTGCATTTGGTCCAATATTTGTTAATCTCGCCAGAACCGGTTTTATCCAGTTTTCTGACGAGTGAGTTAAGAGGCCGCTCTGCCTCGTCTAGGTTTGTCAACGACCTCAAATTCTGAGGTGTTACATTTCAGTAATGTAGCAGAATCTTATCCAGAGCAACTTCAACCAAAGACTACCATATATTACATACATTGGATTAAACCTTCAATGGCTGTAGTAAACCAATCTGGGTGTGGCTGTTTTATGATGAAACTCATGCGTGTCAACTGATCCCAGAAACCCTTGGGGCTCCCGGTGGCCGGTTGGCGTTCTGTCAGCCGGTTGTTAGTGGCCTCAAGGCTCTGGGGGCATGATCTGACGGTACAGCTGAAAACAGCACACCCTACTAGATTAACACCTCCGTGTTTATTAGCATCCTACCGAAGACGTTCCTCTTGTGAGATTTTGGCTCGTTGATAAGTTGGACTCGGGTAGAGAAGCCAGAGTGAAAATATTGTGACATTTGATGAGGATTTTATTTAGATAAACATTTAATCACAACATGCTGAACACGGACCCAGGGTTAAACGTGGGTACATTGCTGTTGCTAGGCAAGAACTTAATTATTCTCACTGGGTGTGTGAAATGGGGATCTGACCTCGGGTCGAATTCCTCGCTTTTACCTAATCCATGGCAGTCCTACCTTATCAGAGACTGAAACCAGACTGTTGCCTTTTGCCTCTCTCCTCAGACAAAGTCCTGAGAGCGGAGCCAGAGTTGAACAGAGTTCAGACTAAACATGAGTAATTACAGCATGACGGGAGGGAAGAGAGGAGTTTGGTTTGGGTATGTTTGAGAGATTGAGTGTGGACCTGTCATGTCCAGCAATCAATCTCAGGTCGAGCCAGGGTTGAACAGAGTTCAAACTGAACATGATTAATTTTTGCATGACAAGGGCTTGATTGATTGCACCATTGTTTCCAAACTGAATAGAAGTCAGATTTTGCCACTATCATAGACTAAGGAAGTGGGTGGTGGGGGAAACTGAAGACCGTGGTGGGGGAACCCAAGAGGGAGGGTTTTTAAGCTAAAACATATGTAAATATGACTAAATAAACAGAGATGAGAGGTAGGAGGATGCTTTGCAAACCACCTCGGCTCTATTGCGTATGTAATGGAGCATCATAATGCTACAAATACTTTGGTTCTTTGATATAAGGACGAACTTGCCACATCACATTCTGTACCTCCTATTTGGCCGATTTTATATATTTAGTGTAGTGGCTAAACTAGATGACACTAAAGCTACTTATCGGATCGACAACAAAATGGAGGTAGAAGGATACCCTTGATTTTCACTAAACTCACATCCTTGACTGCCTTGTCATGTTCTCAATGTCTCCCCTCTACCAGGAGTGGAAGCTGGACACCCTGTGTGATCTCTACGAGACCCTGACAATCACCCAGGCTGTGATCTTCATCAACACCAGGAGGAAGGTGGACTGGCTCACTGAGAAGATGCATGCTAGGGATTTTACTGTGTCTGCTCTGGTAAGACTAGACCCCTTTTTGACTAACCCATAGGGTTGGAATGAGGGCCCCACCATGCATCGGCGCTGTAATGGCTTGTGTGCCCTCGCTTCAACCCTATGGACTGACCTGTCTACCCTAGCTGGGGTCATGACCTCTGGTAAGAGTAAGGAACCCCTTTTGAACTTGAAAGAGCCTCAGCCGTAGCTTGAATGTAACTTTGACCTTAAACTACGGACTAAATGCTGGAACCGTGTAATTTTAGATTGCCGTGAAGGCGCTGCATGGTGAATCCGACATCTGCGTTGGCGTGTTACGGTGATACAGCCTCGGCAAAGTGATCTGTACTACTTGTGCTTCACAGAGCTGTTAAGGGAGTTTGTTTTATACGATGCGGAGCTGAATGGAGCCCTCTGCATTGTTACAATATTTGGGAGGCGCAATGCGGTACGGTGCTCAATTTTGGCCTCTGCGTGCCTCCGGAAGCGCCACTATTGCGTCACACCCTCCTTACGGCATTGCCGACCCACATTTTCAGATCAAGCCTAAATTGGCTCTTGGAGTTGTGGCTTTAGGCAATCAAAGTAATGTCCTTCACTGTAGTCTGTTTTCATTAATGTAACTGTCACTGAGGTTGTCCCATTAGAATTAGTATGTGCATCTTTAAGTCAATGGGGTCAGAACTCTATTTTTCTGGTTTGACTTAACGCCCCCTGTCAACTGGGCAAGGCGGTGTCCTCTAATGGCACTGAATCTTATATCTGACAGGGGAATAGAGAATGAGTCCATATTCATCCCAGTCAGCTCTGTTCAGTGAGGAATAGGCTGGTTCATGCTATGGGCACAGATTTACATTTAAGTCATTTAGCAGATGCATAAACCTATTCAGTATTTGCTCATTGTGTGTAGTATTTTGATAACCTTAAGTCTAACCCCTCTAGTCAAAAGTATATTGTGGCATTACCACACAAATATATTCTGCAATATCCAAACTGGACCTTGAGTCTAAAGAAATCTCTTAGCCATGTCTTGTGCATTCATATGACCTGTAGCTCATGTCTGTTCTCTTCCAGCACGGAGACATGGACCAGAAGGAGAGGGACCTGATCATGAGAGAGTTCCGTTCAGGCTCCAGTAGGGTTCTCATCACCACTGACCTGCTGGTATGTCACTTCCTGTTAATGGCGTCACACTCAAATGGTTTCCACCACTCCTGCTATGGTGTCACATTGAAATGGTTGCCCCCATCCTCTCCCTGTTAATTCGGGCCCAGAGAACTCTCCTCTCAGCTTGTGTGCTTTGTCAGGAATGATTGTCTTTGGGAGAGAAGCTAGGCTGCTCTCCACAGTGACTGGGCTCACAGTCCCAACTCACGACTTATTAGCAGTTTACAACATTCACCTTTCTCTGATGTAATGTCTTTCCTTGTTGACTGACTATGCAAAACGTTTGCGGCCTCTTGCACTTATGTTTGGCACCAGTCGAAGTATAGCGCTAATGATTGATTATTCCCTCGGTCTCTGTCCCTCCAGGCCAGAGGTATTGATGTCCAGCAGGTGTCCCTGGTCATCAACTATGACCTGCCCACCAACCGGGAGAACTACATCCACAGGTAACTACAACTCCAATTCCCAGAATGCAGCATTATAATTGGTAAAACGTTATGATCCATGCAGAGCAATATATTGACACCAGGGTCATGCATGTTTGACGGGATCCTACATAGATCTGTGTTCATAGGTTGCACCTCTGTTCCTTCATGCCATTATGAACGTTCTCAAGCCTCCCTCTACCTGCGGCGCGATAGTGGGGCCCTAAAGTTGTGAAAAGCGAGAATGACAGCGCTAACTACTGTTTAGTCTGAATTACACTAGTGCCTGGAAATACAATGACATTGCTAAAGTAGTCAAATATTTAGAATGAAAGAACTTTGCCAGCATTATGTCATCAAATTTACTTTAGACAGATGGCAATGTTGTCATGGTTAGCGTTGTCTAGCTTAAATCTGGTGTCATCCACTCAAATATTATACTGCGTCTAAAGTCAATCTGGGGACATCAAAACTATGAAGGTTGTCCTAATTATTTGTGTGCTTTTTCAATGTCATTGTATTTCTAAGCCACTAATGCACTCATTGTTTCCTTTTTAAAAAAAAAAATTATGCTCAGTCGTATCTGCAACCCATGAATTGTGACAGGGTAGGGTTCTAGAGCTGTATAGTGACAGGGTAGGGTTCTAGAGCTGTATAGTGACAGGGTAGGGTTCTAGAGCTGTATAGTGATGAAATCCATGCGTGTCAACTGATTCTGGAACCCCCTGAGTGTTCTAGTTCCACCAGTCAGCGTTCTGTTGGCTGGTGTGTTCTGAACCTCAGGACTCTGGAACTCATGATCAGATTCCACACTGGCTGAATACAGCGTAGTTGATTTGAAGTTGGGATTCCTTTCAATGTTCGGTCTTGAGATTAATTTAGTGGAGTACAATGGGTAGAGTACTGAATGGGGGGAAAACAAGTGGGTAAATGTAACTCTGTTCCAGATAATGGGTTGAATGTAGATGGCTCTTTTCCAGCAGCACAAAGCATCTCCTACATGCAGCAGTTGCATTTCAACTACATGTCAACTAAAAGATCGCACTAAATATCCAACCAAAACCCTCTGTTTCCTCCTGTCAGGATTGGTCGAGGGGGTCGTTTTGGCCGCAAGGGCGTTGCAATCAACATGGTGACAGAGGAGGACAAGCGCACGCTGAGGGACATCGAGACGTTCTACAACACCACTGTTGAAGAGATGCCCATGAATGTGGCCGACCTCATCTAGATTCTGACGATTCCCTTCTGCCCCGTCCCAAACCTTGTTTCCCCTCTCAACCCCCTCGGCTTCAACAAAACCCCAAACCCAACATCCCTCTATCCCTTAAAACAAGGATCACTCAGATCCTAGAGCCCGCCCCCTCTTGACCTGAAATCCAATCCGATCCTATTTCACCCATGATTCCCATCCTTGGGATTTGAATACCGACTGATGTTCTGCTAACTCATTACAAATGATTTCTCTTACACTGGGGGTTCTGTCTTGTCCTCATAGCCCGTTACTTTAGTATGGTCAGATAAGTCTAGTATAGCGGAAGTCCTACTCCACCCCACACCACTTCCCCTTGTATTTCCCAAGTCAAAAATGCATTGTCTTGATGGGGTTGTTCCTTGTTTTTTAAACCCCTAACTCCCTGAGATGGTTCTAAATGATGGGGTGCCCACACTAAAGACTGAAGTTTAGAACTGCTACTGTTTGATTTGTTTTAAGACTCCGAATAGTTTGATAGATGGCACACCTGTGCATCTTTGCCATAATGGCCTTTGTGCATTTTACATTTGTTATTTAGCAGATGCTCTTATCCAGAGCGACTTATAGGAGCAATTAGTGTTAAGTGCCTTGCTCAAGGGCACGTCGGCAGATTTTTCACATAGTTGGCTCTGGGATTCGGTCTAGTAATCGAAAGGTCGCTGGTTCAAAGCTCTTAACCACTAGGCTACCTGCCGTCTGCGCCCTCTTTAACTTAATGGACTACCCTGACCACCTTAGTTGTGGTTATATCAACTCTTTACCCCCCCCCCCCCCCCCAAATTGATGCAACTTAGTGGCATTTGTGTATAATGTTGGGAAGTGACTAGCTTTCAGGCTGACTCTGGCTGCGTCCGACTCTGCACCCTATTCCCTACATAGTGCACTATGAAGTCCATAGGGTGCCATTTCGGACGCACCTCACTGTTGTGACGTGCTTCATTGATCTTCAGTCAGTGGGTGTTTTAATAGTTCTTCAGTAAGTATGCAACCCATACAATTATTACTATGGATCTTTTTTTTGGGGGGGGGCTGGGAGAAGTTATTACATACCAGAATGGTACTTCTGAAAAGACTACAATGTATCCAACAAACTGAAATTGGTATCCAACTCTCTTACATTTTAGTCATTTAGCAGACGCTCTTATCCAGAGCGACATACAGTTAGTGAGTGCATACATTTCCATACTGGCCCCCTGTGGGAATCGAACCCACAACCCTGGCGTTGCAAGCGCCATGCTCAACCAACTGAGCTACAGGGGACTCTTGTCTTGGGAGGGTTAAGAAAGGAGCGTCGTCTTCAAACAATAAATAAAAATGTATAGAAGGAAAAGTGATCATGAATGAGTATGAAATGTTTCCTTGATCCTGATCTCTGTGTGATTCTCTTGTTTATATTTTCTTTATGCTTTTCTTGTATAGTCCAAAGTTGAGGTAGCATTATTTTAGTTTGAGACCTGTCGGTTATTGGTGGGGGGCAGGGCGACTGACAGCTCAAGGCAGAAAAGTAAGTTTGACATTCCAACATCTTTTCCCAAAAAGTTCCCAGGTTGTCCAGCAATCCCGGTTGGAAGGTTTCTGCAACCCTACAGATCCAGCCATGCCTTGTTTCGAACTGTCACAACCCCGTTTCACAGGCTATTTTCTTTAGTTTATGATTTCTGTCCAGAAATATTGGATTTGAAAGGGTGTGTCACTTTTGTAACCTACCTCACCAAACTGTTGGCGAGGTCTTTATGGGAAGGACCAACCTACAAATGATGTAGTCCTTTAATTTTATTTTTTATATATATATACAATTGTTTGTCACTGGGTGGAGTTAAAAGGAATGTGCAGTTATTGCTTGGTCAGTGCTATTTTTTAAAATGAATTTATTATTAAAAGAAATGTGATATTGTTAACATTTGAGACAGAGGCAGTGTATCAACTTTTCTACATTGGGTTCTGTATAGTATTTATTTTAATGGTCTTAAATAAAATAAAGGTATTTCTCCTTTTTAACAAGTTAACCATGGTTGAAGTTGCGTTCGTGTCCATTTTCATACATTAGGTTGTCCAAAAACATACACAAAAGCCTAGTATTTGATTCATGAGTGTACATCACATTATTTTCCTAGTGTTTGTGGTTGGTTGCAATGTTCATGCATATCTACTTTCACCCTAAATATGTACGCAAAATACTTAGACATTGGATCTGTCTAATGATGGTGAGCATGGGCAGCTCCCTTGAGGCCGTCTGTCCTGAAGTGGAGTTCTGAGTTGGTAAACAAACTGAAAGGGTGCACACTTCCAGTGTTTGAACAGGTATGAAGCCGAGGTTGGCGATTTACTGCCACCTGCAGTTATGGAATGTTTTCTCATGAGTATAATTCATTGGCTGGTCATGATGACCTTGATGTAGTTGTGATCCCTCCTTAACCCATCTACCCACCCAGTTGACTACTTAAAAATTGTGGAATTCCACAATGATGCTGCCTATGCTAAAACAGGCATTTGGGCACAAGTCCTATGACGTAAGCCTAGTATTTGACAAATCTTTATTGCTAGTATTGAGAAAGGTGGTTACAAACACTGTTTGAAATCAAGTTAACCATGGTTCAAGTTGCATTCATATCTACTTCAAAACATTTTTGTCACGCGTCATAGACAACCAGTGTAGACAGTGAGAAGCTAACAGGTCCTTTTCCAACAATGCAGTTATAGATAAGATTTTTTAAATCTATTGACTTTCACACATTTGGACAAAGTAGTCAAAAAATTTAAAAACATACCATTAAGACGATCTTGATAAATCATAATTGGTGGTGGGTAACAAAAACTTGTACTGTTTAAAATTGCCACTAGGGGGCGACAATTATAAACCCAGTCAGGTTGCCCAACTTTGAAACTACTCTACTGGAATGAGGTGAGTAGATGGAGTACAGCTGTGGACTTCCATGACTTTTCCTAGCAGGTTAGGAGAGCATTTTAACTAACCCTTTCCCTAACCTTATTAACCTAATTCTCCTAACCTACCACGTTAATTCTCCTAACCTGCTATGAAAAAGTAACTTCCGGTTGTAGCTGTGTACCACCTGGAATGATTTTACTGGTGTCTTGTGAATAGGCCACTGTCATTACTCACTGGTGCTACTACTAGAGCTGTGTTTAGACAGGCAGCCCAATTCTGATATTTTTTTCCACAAATTGGTCTTTTGATCAATCACATCAGATATTTTTCAGATCTGATTTGTCAAAAGACCAATTGGTGGAAAACATATCAGAATTGGGCTGCCTGTCTAAACGAAGCCTACATGACACCTTCAATGAAGTACAGTAGATCTGTTTCAAGTTGTTCTAGTTCAGCGGTGTTCAAATCTTACCTTACGAGGTCTGGACAACTGCTGGTTTTCTGTTCTACCTGATAATGAAGTGCCCCAGCTCTAAAGCGGTCCCTGGTTAGAGGGGTAGAATGACCATCTCATTATATTATATTATTATATTATATTCTCACAGCCCTCTCTCAGGGACCCCCGCCCCGGAGCATTTCAGGCTAGGCTATGGGTCTTAAACTGTCCCTTCACACCTCTGTCCCTAGCCAAACCGATTGGTTGCTAGGGTTCATGGTTGCCAGGGGCCTTATCACACCGTGTGGTCAGCCAATCACAGACAGTCATCTTGGGTCCCAGATCCCCAATTCCTGCCTCCCCCTCTGGCTCCTTCAAGCAGTCACAGAGAGAGTAGCAAGCTGCACAACAACAGCTGGACTCATCTCTGGACTTGTGGGATGGTGTGCGTGCACAAAAAACACTACCATTCCACTACCTTTCCATGTACATTTAAACCGTGTGTGTGTCAATAAAGTATCATTGTGTGTAATTCTGAGGTTGCCTTATTCCCCTCTAGCCGGGGGAGGTGCTAGTGGGTCACAGATCAGCCCAAACTGAGAGTTGCTCTCTTTCAATTAGACTTCATATTAACACAAACACAGCATAAAAAGCATATGCTTTACTACTAGGTAGTAGCTGCATTTCCCTGACGCCTACATGTCACTGGATAAACATCTTATCAGGCATCTTTTTCCCCGATACCCACATGGTTGACAGTTGTGTTGATTGGTTGACAGTGTGGCGGTGACAGTACATAGTAACAGATAGACATCTTAGTAGGCACTACTAACTTTATCTAGGCTACTATAGTTCCTTGATAACCACCAGTGGTGGAAAAAGTACTCCATTTTCATACTTGAGTAAAAGTAAAGATACCTTAATAGAAAATGACTCAAGTAAAAGTGAAAGTCACACAGTAAAATACTACTTGAGTAAAACTCTAAAAGCATTTGGTTTTAAATATACTTAAGTATCAAAAGTAAATGTAATTTCTAAAATATACTTAAGTATAAAAAGTACAAGTATACATCATTTCAATTATTATTATTTTATTTTTTACAGATAGCCAGGGGCACACTCCAACACTCAGACATCATTTACAAAGGAAACATTTGTGTTTAGTGAGTCCGCCAGATCAGAGGCAGTAGGGATGACCAGGAAGGTTCTCTTGATAAGTGCGTGAATTGGACCAGTTTCCTGTCCTGCTAAGCATTGAAAATGTAATGAGTACTTCTGGGTGTCAGGGAAAATGTATGGAGTAAAAAGTACATTATTTTCTTTAGGAATGTAGTGAAGTAAAAGTAAAAGTTGTCAAAAATATAAATAGTAAAGTAAAGTACACATACCCCAAAAAACTACTTAAGTAGTACTTTAAAGTATTTTTACTTAAGTACTTTACACCACTGATAACTACATGTCACAGCTGGCTTGAGCAGGGTGGGAAACAAGTGCAGTGTTAAAATAGTATCAGAAATCAAAACTTCAAAGACAAATATGTTTTTTTATTATCAGATTAAACTATGAACCATCTATTTGTCTTGATACAGGCCTCGTCTCTTGTATCAGCCAATCGAATAGCTGAGACTTGCTTCTGAGTGGGAGCTAAGATCT